CACAAAAGCTCCCTTCCTTAGGCTCCGTTTCTAGATATTCATCAGTGATGCACCTGGTGGGGCCAAAATTACAAGCCCACCATGTTCTGGTGGGGGCCTGAAAGCATATTCTGGTGTCCTGAGACTTTGTGGTATAGATTTGAGAACTGAAAGGCTGTCTGTAAGGGGAAGTGGATAGAGTATAAATTGAAGAAATTAGACAAGCACCTTTGCTTTGAAGGTCCCTCAGAGTGAGTCTAGTCTCTTGTGACCTACAGTCTGTAACTTCCAGTGGGGCAGTAGTATAGGAAATTGTCATGCCACCTCCAGCGGAGCCCGCATGAGGTTCTCCGTGGGTTGAGGCCGAAACTTCAAGGAAGAATGCCTCCTGGAAATGGCTGTGTTCAAAGAGCATGCCGTGTCCTTGGCTGTTCTGCTTCCGCTCTTGTCTTTATTGCTGCACTATTATTCCTGTTCTTTCCCCGTAGAGAGACTGCTTTGTACCTACTCAGGGCATTAGGCCCACCTAAAGAGAGACTAGATACGGATGATTTCCTGGGAACTCAGTCACCCGATATTACACTTCCTCCAAATGCTCCTCTCTTGTTTCAAGCAATAGTCAAGGCAGCTAAGAATAAGCAACCTTGGAAACTTCTAGATAAGTTACTGCAAGAAGAATAATCCCCCTACTTCAGTCCCTAGAGTTGACTCAGTTATAAGAAAAAGAGATCAAAGGGAAACTAAGATTGCCACCCTCCGTTAAGACCGACTTTGGAATTGCCTGCAAGTTAGGGGGAGGTAGGCTATGGCATCCCCTTAAGGGAAAGGAGAGCATGTTTGGAATCCCCGAGCCCACTGATGAACCACTTCCTCATACAGGAGTTTATGAAGGAAATAATAGAAGGGTACATATTAAAGGAAGGAAAGTTTCATGGTATTCACTACAGTTTATGGATAGCTTAGCTAGATCCAGACCACCTTGGTACCTTTACTATAAGTCAGCAGCAAAGTATATTTGATCAATTACAGGGAGTATAAGATACATGGAAGGTAAGAATGGGGAAATATGGATTAGAGAAAAAAGCCTTTGAAGTTATATACAGTTACTATAAGAAAGATGCTATTTCACAACTTCACTGGCCAAGTCATTGGCCTCAGCCACCGAAACCTCAGACTTAAGATAAAATCGAGAAAACGGAACCATAAAAGTACTAACCATGAAATTTATAGGTAGCCAATGTTGCCAAACCACTAAGGAAAAAGGACAAACAGTCTAGCACCTGATTAATCAAATAAGAAAACTGTACACTGTGCTGTATTGCTTTGATTTTCAGAATTGCATTTCTAAGAAAATGATTAACCATGAGATCAACCTAATGCTTGCACAATCTTGTTCTGTAACTTGTATAAAATCTGATGCTCCAATTTAGCAAATTACATTCAGATCATAAACCATCTCTTGTGTTGTGTCTGTTTGTCACTCGCCAAATCCTTGCCCACTCTCTGATCCCCTGTTCCCGTCAGACTGAATGCTTCGGTCTGGGCTGGTCCATCTCAGGAAATAGAGATATTGGCTCCTATCCCCACGTAGAAGGGGAGCTTGGGATCAAGGCAGAGCCAACAATCTAGTCCTATATTGGGGTAAGTATGATTTATCCAACTGTGCCTTAGTCTCAGTGTCACCATCTCGGGAATGTTGTCTGGGGTCCATTTGAAGCTTGAAGTTTCTTCTTCCTGAGAAAAGCACATAGCTGCTGGTGTTGCTTTTCTAACTGCCTAACATGGTCCTCAAATCCTTGCCCACTCTCTGATCCCCTGTTCCCGTCAGACTGAATGCTTCGGTCTGGGCTGGTCCATCTCAGGAAATAGAGATATTGGCTCCTATCCCCACGTAGAAGGGGAGCTTGGGATCAAGGCAGAGCCAACAATCTAGTCCTATATTGGGGTATGATTTATCCAACTGTGCCTTAGTCTCAGTGTCTAAAGTCAGGTAAGCCTGATTCATGAGTGTTGATGCTAGACTCTTTAATACTCAGAAAGTTGCTAATTGATTGATGACACTCTAGAAAAGCTTGTTGATCTCCTCACCCTGGTCTCTCCCCAGTGCCACTGAAGAGCATCTCTATGACCCTTTCCACAAATGACTTCGTGGCTGGGGTCTCTGCAACCTTAAACTATGAGAATGAGGAGAAAGTCCCCTTGGAGGCCTTCTTTGTGTTCCCCATGGATGAAGACTCTGCTGCCTACAGCTTTGAGGCCTTGGCAGAACTGCAGGAGAAGATGAAGGTGAGGGCTGAGTCGTTGATCTCCTCCCTCCTTATTTCTTTATTGCATTCTCATTTGATCTTTATGAAGAATTTATAAGTGCTTGTGTAGAATGTTCTTTCTTCCATTCAATTCTAAATACTCTTTGCCTAAAACTAAAAGAGCAGAAGGAATAAATTAGAGGCTATCAGAATACAGCTCTGAAGTTCATCGGACCCATATCACACCCTTCACACCAATTTGGATCTTCTTGACTACTTATGATTTCATTTCCACCCCTCCTGCTCCTCCTTTAGGCTCATAGCAGCTATGAGGATGCCCTCACCCAGGGTCACGAGGCCTACTTATTGGAAACAGACAACTATTCTAGGGATGTCTTCTCTTGCAATGTGGGGAACCTACAGCCTGGTGCCATGGTGGCACTTACTCTGCAGTATGTGCAGGAGCTGTCCCTGGAAGCAGATGGGGCTCTCTGCTACATGCTCCCAGCAATCCTGAATCCTAGGTACCAGCTATCCGGTGAGTACTCTGACCCTTTGACCACCAATGCCAGAATCATTGGAGCGAATTCTCCTGTTTATGGATGTGATATAAACTGACGACATGGTAAGCAGAACTCAGTTACCCTCTTATAGGCCAGTCTGGGGACAGTTGCCAGGATCTGAGGACTCCCATAGTCCCTTTAGAGGACCCACCCTACACACTCACCCTGGTGGTCATCATCAGCTCCCAGCACGGCATCGAGAGGGTCCAATCCAACTGTTCCTTGAATCCTGTTGAGTACCTTGGACAAGATAAGACTTCTGCCCAGGTGATTAATAAGACAGCATGGTTTCTGCGTGCTCCCTATTTCTCAGCGCTGCACCTGATCCTCCTCTAGACTTCCAGATCTTCCTTTCTTCTTCTAGTCACTCAGAGGGAGGGATGCTGTCTTCTTTCTCTACCCTGGGTAAAGTGTGGAGTCCTTTTTCCCAGTCTTCCCTGTGCTTCTGATTATGCTCATGGTGGAGAAAGCCTGCAAGTATGAGTTCTGACCTCATCACAGAGAGAAAACAGTCACATTTCCAATGTCTCCCCTCTGCTGCTCTCCAGTGCAGGTTTCCTTGGCTGAAGGACACAAGTTTGATCGGGATGTGGAGTTCCTGATTTACTACGGGGAGGTGCACAGCCCCAGTGTATCTGTGGAGATGGGGATGCCTGAGATGAAGCCTTGTATTTCCTATCTCCCTTTCTGGTCCCTTTCGAAGAGGCAGTTTTAGATTATTGTTGATGTTCTCTCCTGTATTCAATGGCAGGCAAAATAATCTGATGTGCAATTTCAGAAGACTTTTTGTACCTCCATATGTAATAACATTTAGACTTAATATATAATCAGGTGCTTATAACTTCCTGGTTAATTTAAGTATATTAGTGGATAACTGGGTAAGCAATGTGAACAAATAACTCACAAGAGAATACTCAGCCGGTTATAAGCATGCGACAGTGACTGCTGTTGACAAAAAAATGAAGAATTTATAATCCATGTCTGTGATCTCCAAATCTGATAGTCTTGTACTCAAATTATGTGATAAGTTTTGCATTCTCGTAGATTGTGGAAGGACAATAGTTCCACATCAACTGTTTCAGATCATATGTGAGGTCAATTTCTCAACCTTGGTCATTCCTTGCATGATGCTACCCATGTCTTGCTCTTAGGGCATGGACTTTGCTCAGATGTCTTTCAGGACTCACATTCTCAAAGAAGCACATGGAAGACTTGAGAGGTAGCTTAGGTTACTAGAACACTTTAGTGAGACACAGCACCATAATGTGAGACTCATTATTTAAGTTAAAATGAATAATTTCATAAAACTAAAAGGAAAAGGCTTGGAAATACTGCAAATACAATAACCATGTATGAAATTCTCAAAAATAAAGTTAAGATTCAAAAATTTTTAAAGATGATTGTATAAAAACTGCATTTAAAACTCATTATGAATTAAGTTCAACTCTATATTATGTATCTTATAATCTTTGCAATAATACTGTAGTAAAAATTATTACCTTGATTCTTCATTGAAGTAAACCAAGGCTAGCACCTTAATTATGGCCTTATGGTTTAAATGCCTCATTTAAAAACAATGGAGCTCTGATTCATTAAGGTACACTATGGTTTGTGTTGTCCTGAGTAATCACAGTAGATATATGCGTGCAGTGCTCACTACATATGCAACATTGTTCTAAGCAGTGCAGACACGTTCATTCCCACCATTCTCATGGCAGCCTTTCTGACTTCAGTACAGTGCTATTGCCATTATGACCTGCTGTCTCTCAGGAGGGACAGGAGTCTACCTTACTCATTCATTACATCATGTATCTAGAGACACGAATCTGGTTAATATTTAATCTCATTTTCAACTAGTTCTTTAAGAGAACACCTACATTCCTAAGCAAGAAAGTTCTCTTATCACTTGTCAGTTTAAGCAATATGCACAATGCAACATTTTTTCAATGGTTCAATTAATCTGTGAAGCATGTGATCAATTTTCCATTGATCTGCCTAGAATAAAATATTTACCCCTCTAAGAAATCTTGTCTGGATCCTTTTCCCATACTGAAAGATGTTAACCTGATGTGTCCCATTCAGTTGCTGAGATACCAAGAAATTTAAACACACTGGTATCCTGTTTTGCTTCTTTCTCTTCTATGCTTACAACACATTCAGTCCTGTATAAGCATATAATGCACAAAACTCACACAGAGTTTATATTTGAGATCTCCAGGCTTACTATTAAGGCGATAACCGATTCCTGGTAACTTTACAATCCTGGGTTCCTTGTGCCTCACAGGGCTCTTCTCCTTTCCATGTAGATAGTTTGATGGGAGCTCCTTCTGCAATGGTGAGTTTCTATCCAGATATCCCAGAAGCAGAGACCTTCAGGAGCTGTGGAGAATTTGTCTTCCTCATGGACCGCTCAGGAAGTATGGACTCCCCCATGAGTAACCAAGAAATGTCTCAGCTGCGGATAGATACTGCCAAGGTAAAGGAGATTCTTTTTCATGAGTCCTATGTACAATTAAGGATGGTTTGGAAGGGTACGAATAGAGGCCATTCGTAGTTGTATGTCTGATCTCCATCTGTATAACAGCAAGCATGCCCACTCTGAAACCAGTCTAAAAATACAAGGTGGCATAAGGCAGGGTGACTTCTATACCCCAGTAGTTAGACAGGGTCAGGATATTTCATAGAGTGCTCCTTCACCCTGTCTCCTCATCTTCTCTCATCTTCAGGAAACACTGACTCTTCTAATGAAGAGTTTGCCTCTAGGCTGCTATTTCAATATTTATGGATTTGGATCTTCCTATGAATCATTCTTTCCGTAAGTTTTTGGGAAGTCCGTGGAGTATGAAGAAGGGTAATGTCAAAAATGAGTAGTGCAGACCTGATCTAAGCATTGGGGTAATCAGGAGAAATTTATGATAGATTTCTCAGAGTGGCAACGTGAGGCCGCTGTCATGTGACTGACTCTGCTTGTTTCTCTAGAACGAGTGTGCAGTACACTCAGAAAACAATGGAG